TCTTGTTTTTTTTTTTTTTTTAATTTCTCGAAATCGGCCCCTTAGTAAACTACTCCACAGTGAAACAATTCAGCACCTTTCTTTCATTCTGCCCCAGTCAGCTACCATTTAATGCCAGCAAAAGTATCATTATTTCTAACTAGTGCTCTTCTTATTTTGTGCAATGTAGCATAAAATGTATATTAACATGATTTCATGTCATGTATTCATACGTGGTTAAGAAAAAAGAAAAAAAGAAAATTGTCTTTTTAGTTCCACTGAAGATCAGTGAGAAGTCAGGAATAACATGCTGAACTATATTTTTATAGCTCTACAGCTGTGTAAAAAAGGAACATAAGGACACCAGCATCAGGCAGTTGTCCATCTATGCTACTATACTCTGCCTTTGAGAGTGGCAGTCGGAGGTGCTGTTTAGGGAGATCCTATGAACCTGGCCATTTTCCATCTGTATTCCTAATACTGCCCTATCATGCAAAATGAGAGGGTGCATCCCTACTTCATCCTTTCTGTATCTATTAATGAATTTATTGCCTGATAAATATCCTAATCCCTTTCTGAAACTTCTGAGATAATAGCATCTGGCAGGAGAGAGTCTTTGAAGCTCTTTACCAACTCTTCTATTACTCTCTCTAAAAGTACTCTCTTCTACCCGCTTTACACTGCTCTCCTATTAGTTCTTAGAATGCAGGATTTGGTGATCACCAGTTTTTCAGTCACTTTATCTACCACCTTCATGATTCTGTAAACCTTCATTGTCTCATCCCTGGGCCATTTTAATCTCTTCATGAGACCTTTGATCATTTTAATTGCCTATCTTTGGACTTCCTCTAAACCCATGGAAGGAGAGAACAGAACAGGGAAATACGTGTCAGTGGCTATGTGTGAAGTGTTCATGCAGTAGTTCTTGCACAGATCATCTGTTCAGATCCTGTCCTGTTGCTTACTTCTGTAGTCTATGAAAGAGGGGAAATATTTCATGTAAGCATTTCAGAAAATTATTAAAAATTTTTACTTGTAGTACTTTAAGACTTCACCTGGATATTTTTGTATATATAGTAAAAGCTTTTCACACAGTAATTTTAAGTGATTTTCTGAATTGACACTCAGACCCTGACTTGGAAAAGTGTGTCCTCCCATCTTACTTGTTTTGGTTTCTCACACTATGTAGTATTTCAAATTCGTATTCAAAAGTGATTTTCATGACATTGTCATTCATACAGTCCCACTTTGTTTTGAATATTATTTTCTTTTCAGATGGAAGTCTTAAGTTTTCAACTTTTTCATTTTCTCCTCCATTGCATTGCATATACTGTATTAACTGATTAAACAGATGCATTTGACTGTAAATGGATATGGGCTGTCTACCTTTGCTGTCAAAATATATATATAAAACTTTGAAAATTTCCTTATGTTGTTAGGCTTGTAAACATGACCTTCTTTTTGGTGATTCCTGTGACACTGTGGGTCACTAGCAAGCAATTTTTTTTTTTACATGCAAATTTGCAAAACAATTTTGATACTGGGAAAAATGTGGCTTTTAATCAGTCTTCATTGGAGTAAGAAGTTGAGATGACACCTCAAGCTGTGTTAGGAGAAGAAAAGCATACAGACAGAGGCATGGAGGAAATTTGCTGAATAAGATGCACAGTGATGTATTATCATAATGGTAATAGTTAGAGATAAGGGGAACTGTACAGAAAAGGTATAAAAGTTAAGGAGAATATTTTCTATTCTGTTCTTCCTACTGGGACAAAGCAATGGCATCTTTGGTTGAGAGAAACACTGTTTTTTCAGAAGGCAGTTGTATCAGAACTACATCTCTTGACAAAGACACCAGTAACTTAATTTTATTTACAGTATATGATTGTCCCATCTTATAGGTGACATAAAGTTGGAAGAGGGATTGGAACAGAAGGTTAGATAGAAAAAACAGAGTATGAGGCAACATATGAGAGCAAGTCTCTAAGCATTTGCACTGAATATAAAGAACACTTCAGCCTAGCAAAACTGATATGAGCCACCTATATAAACTTCATTTATGTGTGACGGTATTAAAACTGTAATTCCTCCTTGTGAAAATGGGAATGCCAGAGAATAACTGATGTTCAGCTGAACATCAGTCAGTCAGTCTCATGCCAGGAGATTGAAGAAGGGGTAATGGCTACAAAGTCTCCATGTGTAGTGAATGTTCAGAAGTTCAGAAGACTGATGTCATGCAAATTTAAATGTCCCTGAGACATTTGATCTGTGGGAAAAAAAAAAGTCATGGTAGTAGTTTTATGTAGTCCTGAATTTCTAAAAATTTCAAGTCTTTCACCCTTAAGATACTAAGTAGGACTTTGTGTTGCCCAGCCTGTATTGAGTATTGTGAAATTCTTTGAATCCTTTGTTCTTTGGTGGTGTGTTTAGAAGGATTCAGGGTGCATTGCACAGTTCCACATATGAAGTGATGAAACTATCAAATTGCTTTCTTAAGCTTCAAATCTTTTCTTGGCAAACATTGTTTCTTTTAAAGGTCTCACATGAACTGTTCACTACCTGCTTAACATTAAATACTATTTCAAACAATTCTAATCAAACATTCTTTGCACTGTCATTGCATAATATGAAACATGCAGTCAGCTGTTTTATATTTCTCCTTCTTTATAAGTGCAGCCAGTAGAGACTTTCCATATGCCTAGATATCTGCATGCTAAATAGCAAGAAAAACAGATGATTCTTTCTTTGAATAAAGGAAAAGCAAAATAGCTCACTTATCAAAGGCAGGCTGAGTGATAGCTTTATTTGGATTCCAGTCTATTAGTTCATCTCCATGAATGACCAATTATGATTCATCTTTCCAAATATTTCATAAATCCTGCTGGAGAGCACAGCAATGGAACTGAAGAGCTGTCATGGAGCTCTGCTAATAAAGTCACTGATGCCGTCACAATATATCTGCACATAATTTAATTCCCTTCCTGCATGTGTTGAAGGCATGCATTCCAGTACTCTCATATTTAAAGTCCTTTAATGAAGGATGCTACTCCTTGTCTCTTGGATATATTTAGAGTTCTAAAGAGATGCTGTTCTTAAAGTATTCAAGGGATTCAATTGGACCTTTCATAGCATATAGTAAAAGCCAATTTTTCTCTTCAGAGACCTTTCATTTTTATAACATAAGATGTTTATTTTACTTAGTCATTATGATAACAGGTGCTGAAGTTCTGGAATCTCCTGATTCTCCAAGTTAGCTTTTAATAATTTTCTTTCCATGCTTGCTTTTGCAAACTGTCTGTTTCAGAAAGTGATTCCTCAGTTTATCTTTACAGTCAGACCCCCAGCACTCTCCACTGAATATTTGCTTCAATTTCTCACAGTCTGAATGGGCAGTATTGGTAATAGCACAGTTAATTGACCAGTGAAATATTTTTTCTGCTTATGCTCTGTAGGAAAGCTAATTTCATAACGTTGAATATACATTTTCGGGTGAGTGGCAACGTGCACAGCAAAGACTGTAATGGTAATGTTGCACATTTATGGATAGTGTTAAAGAGTGAAAAGCTGATCTTCTGATATGCTTTCAGCATTTCTGAAAATTAGATCAATAATTTCACTTTGGGGCAGATATGCAAAGCATACTGGTTAGTTTTCCGTGATGATTTTTCATAATTTTCTCTCTGTTCACATTCCAAATAATCTTTGAAATGTTAGAAGGCAATAATAGTGATGATACTAGTCAAACTGCATTTTACTTCCTTAAGAGAGTCTAGGATTTTACCCTTTTAAAAAGCTGTGTAAAAGTGAAAATAAATAACATCTTTGACTTCATAGAAGGCATTGCACATCATACTGTAAAGCTGTCTAGGCATGTTCTGACAACTGAAACTTGCCACAAGATGCTTTACACTTGTCTCTTGTGAGTCTGAAGATGTATGAATGAGAAAACGATCCTAATCTTTCCTTTCATATATCCTCTGCCACAGCAACTTTTTCTGTGTAGTAAGTGGGGAAAAAAATGCTTTCATATTCCTGGCAGTGTTCTGAAAGAAGTTGAAACATCAGTGTTCTCCAGTATTTGCAGGAGGTCTCCTATTGACTCAGGACCCAATGTGCTGCACTCTGCTATGGCTACAGCATGGTAACATACGCCACTGTACAAACATATTCACAGTATGAGGAAGCAAACTGAGCAACTGAAAATGTGCTAATCATTGTGAGATAGAAGTCCATGTTTGGGTACCATTTTCTCAAATGTGAGAGGTTAAATGCATTTTAGTATGAAAAAAAATGTCAGAAACAAGAAGCAAAAGGGCTGCCATATTAAAGAAGAAAAGTTAGATTTGGAAAAAGAATGTTACAAGAAGGAAACCCTCATCACACTGCAACATCATGAAAACTGAACTGGAAATAGTCAAATAATTGGTTCATAAGAAATCCACAGTCTTGTTAGATAAGGCAATACTTACAGTGAAAAAGATTGAAAGAAAATAACTGGGGAAAAATAGTTTGTATTTCTCACCAAAAGTTATTGATTTAAATCCTAAATTATTTAAGATGAACAAGCTGATCAGCACTCATCTCAAAGATGCATAGGCCTTAATCTACTGAAAATTACAGCAAGATTCACTTTTCCTTCAGTAGAATGAGAATCTGGCCTAAGAGCATCTAATGGTTTGCTAGCCCATTGTTCAAAACTCAGTATTTTAGCTCTGTCAAGGTTATACAATCGGGCTTAGTTTCCACATATCAGACACAGTATGTGCTGCTTCATGTAGAGCAAGAAGTTGAAATACAAATGTTACCTTTATTTAATGATGAACAGTAAAGCTACAAAAAGAACAGCTAGTGAACATAGCAGACAACTTGTCAAGCTTAATAATTTTTTAATTGAAGCAGATCTTTTATTGCTGTTATTTCAAGTGACTTGGTGTTTATGAAGAAATATACCATGATACTTTGCAATACATTTGCAGATAATGTTACCAGGATTCACTTAATGAGATTTAATGGAACAGTACCTTTCTCTTAGCTTTGAGCTGCTCGTGATATTTGTTGGATGTGTCGCCTGGTATTTCTCCTCCCCAGAGGGTAATTCCCACTATGGAATAGGTGATGCCCATGACAAGCAGTGGAAAGCAGTAGACCAGCACAATCACAATGACATGATACCTGCAGTGAAAAAGCATTAAGCTGATAAGTGCTTTCAGAGGAGCTATACCAATGGAATGGGCTGCTAGAAGTCAGAAGTCCGGCTACTCCTTGGTGTTTTCACCATCTTTTAAAAAGTCTTGAATTGCACTGCAAATTTATTTACATTTTAATGCAAGTGCTTTATGATGTTTCTAGCTTTGATTCTGAACTCGCACTAGCATAAATTAAGAATGGCTCTCTGGTTACCATAATTAATCACTGCAGAATTAGGTATGTTTGTCCATAACTAGTTGAATTGATTTAATTATTGCACAGCCAAGTATGCTAAGGGCAAGCTAGGTGTTTTGAGTTCTATTCTGGACCATAACTGAAAGAGGAAAATAAGTATTTAAGTGGTATATTTATATAAAGGCCCTGATAAGTGTCCTGTCTTACCCAACATACTTCATACGGCAGATTCGTTGCACGTATGCAACGCTGATCTGTTGCCTGTGTACAACGAAGTCATTGCTGCTGATGTAAGTGCTAGGAAAAAAGAACACTTCTTTTGCCTCCTGTTAGTCCCTGGTTAAATGCCATCTTCAGATAAAATCCCAGTGAATGATCAGTGAAGCATCCCTAGCTGCCACTGCAAATGACCTTACTGCCCTGAAGAGATGTATCTGTGCATAGCTCCTAAAGTGATAAAAAATATTGAAGACCAGGGCCTCTTTCACTGCCCTGAAAGAGAGCAAAAGGTCAAATTTGATGTTGGATAGTTACACAGGCTTTCAGCCTTAAATGCAGCATTCATCTTAAATGCCAATGAAGACATGAAAGGGCAAATAATGTTTCTATGGCTAGGTAACCACTTATTCCTAATTCTGCCAGAGGGACAAATAGAATATATTCACTTTAATTGACTGTTATTCTATACTTTCAGAAACTGGAACCAGTTTTCTTATTTGGACTGATATCTGAGATAAGGAATTGTGGTAGTGTAACAGAATGAAGTGGAAATATCCAACTCTTTCATGAAAAGACCCAGAGGAAAAAAAAATCAGATTAGGACAAGGAGAGGCTGGAAATATTTGTTTTCCTGACTAGGATGATAAAGAAGCTTGCTTTGAATTGCATGTTGGGTTCCCATTTCTGATCATCTCTGTCTGTATAGAAGTAGCCCTCTTAAGTGATGCAATGATGGTAAACGTGCAGCATGGGATGGTGAACACTCACAGAAGTGGAAGAGAATAAATGTGTCCCACTTATCACTTAAAATGCTCTATCTTCCTAGCATAGAAAACTTGCTTTACATTTTTCAATGATCAATACTGTTAGTTATTCTGCAGGTAGAGTATCTGCATGATGCTCTACAGCTTTTGCCAAGTCCATTGCAAGTGTAGACACCACCATGCACAAGTTTAAAAGAATAAAAGCTTACGTAAAATGCTGTTTTGGACCACCTGGCCATGCTACATAGCAAAGAGTTCTCCCAGGCATCACCTTGGTTATGGAGTATAGGCACTGGGGAAAGGCCAACAGGAAAGCCAAAATCCATATGCTCCCAATGACCACCTTGGTAGCAGTTGCAGAGAGCCTAGGTTTCAAGGGATCAATAATGGCCATGTATCTGTAAAAAAAAGCAAAAATCTGTGCATAAGAAACCTTCAGAGATTAGGATGTATCTAGAATCAGCAAAGTTTAGTACTGGGAGAAGGATAAAAGCAGAGATATTTGTCTTCCTGGAGTTCTGATGGCATTATGCTCTTTGGGTGATTCAGCCCTGTGGAGGGAGTGCTGGAAGAAAAAGAAGTTCATTGAATATTATTTTAAAGCTGTAGGACACATGGTTAACCATATGTATACCAGTAGAGCAACTATTTCTCAAATTGTTAGTGAATCCTGTTACTGCACAACCTGATTGGAAAGCAAAAATACAACTGGATCCTCTGTTACTCTGCTACACAATACAGAGTTTATCTCTAATTAAAAAATTAACAGCCAAGCTGTCAGGATTACTACTCATCTGTTCAAAAGCTACAGGAACCTGATAAGACTGCATGCATTTATTTCAGTAGTCATAGACTGACTTCACATTGTCTGCCAAAGAGCCCCAACGACTGGTTCATACAGAGATTGTTAGAAGCCATATGAGCATTTCCTTGGGCAATGTAGAAGTGATAAAAGCACCAAGAGAAACAGATGCATAAAGCATGAAAACACCTCATTTTCTTTTTCAGATCTCATGTTCTCAGGTGGGATAGGATTCTTCTTGCTGCCGTATAATTGTATTTTTAATCAATGTATGCTGATAACTTTAGGACATGCAAAAAAAGCAATAAAAAGTTTAAGTAATTACAATTTAGAAGCTTAGGGAAAAAGAGCAATAGGAAGGCTTCAAGACAGACAATAAAAGAAAACCAAGTCTTATTTTCTGTCTTTTGATCTTGTTACTGATGCAAGGAATAAGGGAGACAGAAATTACTCCTTATCACATGCTTCCTGTGTTTTTCACATTTTTCTTAGCATAACTACTGCTTTGATTTCTGGGTTAAACCCTGAATTTTCCACCAACTTCCCTGATAGCACTACTTTGTTTCATTTAAGAATGACCAAATAATGACTTGTAAAATCATTTATCATATTAATTAAATAGGAACACTATTCAAAATTTCTTCTTTATTACGAGGAATGCTCTTTCACAGTACACACATCCAGCTATCTGATCATTTTTGATAATATTATTTGAGTATATCAGTGAATTCCTAAGGGTCCTCTTTGTTTCCATTGGAGGTCTCCAGTCTTCATGCCTGGTAACTGCCCTTGTCTCTGTCTGTTTCAGGTTTTAAATACAGTTAGAAAGTCAAACCACATGCATTTCGGCCTACATGTGTAGAGAAAATAGTTTTAGAACTTTCCAGTATTGCTTGTCTGCTTGTGTGATTTATACCTTGTAAAGGAATTGCAATAAGTAAAAAGTATACTCTGGATGTTCATCTACTCTTTCTCTACATTTCTACCTCATATAAATATGGATTGGGATAGATTCAGAGACATATTTCTGTATGGAAAATTACATAGGCAGTAATAGGCATTGTATGACAGGACTGTGGAAAAAAAATCACTTAATCTCATAAGCATTTGTAGATTATGTGCTGTTGTTGAGACTTTATGTGTTGATATGAAGCTTAGAAGTTATAAAATCAGTTTACACTTACAGAGACTGAATTATTTTGTAGATAAGCAAGCATAAATTAGTAGATCCTATTCCAAAGTGACACTAATATGTGATTATTGTTGTTTTGGTAGTCTATGTTTGTCCTTTTGACATTCATAGATATAAAAAATTTCAAAGCCATTAATGATATTTTTTTTAATAAAGATAAATGTCTCCTGCCTTGGCTCTAGATCGTGAGAAACCTTCTTATACTGTTAGGTGACTTTTTGAGTCTGTGCTTCCTGATCCAGGCAGAATTTGGATTGAAATCCATTGAAATCAATGGATAAGCTGCTATTGATTTGAATTAAACTTTTTTTGGATGAATAAATTCTGTTCTGCTGCAATTAGAACTGAGTAGCACTCATTTAAAATGAAGGAATGTGCTATGTCCTGATTGATACAGGGCACACCTTGGTTCTAGGAAGACTTGCCCAAGATTTTTAGATACAAATATTAGCTGTAAGGCAACAATAATAATATTAATAAGATAATGCTTCTCATAAGAATTTGAGCAAGTAATCTCCTGCATCCATATTTATCTGCTATGACAAATTTCATTCAAGATATTCCTACTTTTTGGAAATTTCATGCTTGAGAGTTTATATATATTTATAGAATGTATACCCTATGTATAAAGTAATGATAGAAGAGATTTATTTTAGCAAAGATAACTCCATTTATAAATAACCATCAAATATGTGATAAATCCAACATCTGCCATTGTAGTGGTACTCAGCCTGTAGTAGACATGATAACTGTACTAATACCTTAAACATAGTGATCTAAAACAACTTCAGGTCTGAATAATCAGTTTCCATATCTAGAATCTAAAGCCTATTCATTTTGCATTGTTTTTACTGCACTTATATTTTTCCCACAGTGTAATTAGTACCCCTCTCCTTTACCTGCTTTTTGTTTTTATTTTCAGCTAAACTGGTGCTTTTGGTATTACACACTAACTATGAAATAGCTTTATTCAAGTGCTGGGTGTCGTGTCCTGAGAGAACAGCATTTCTCAGGAAAATATACATCAGTTGGATTGTTGCCCACTGCCCTCTACTTCCTTTCTCCTCAGGAGAGTAAGTACAACTTGGTAATGAAGGTAAATTTGTAGTCATGAGTCCTGTCTTTCAAATGGAGCTAGCTTGAGTATGGGCTGCCAGATACTGTCTAAAATGCTTGATGACCTTTACCTGTAGTAGGTGATAATCCATAAACAAGTCGTCATTTTAACTTGCTTGTGGGACTCCTAAGGCATCTCCTCCTAGCTTGGACTCATTCCTTTCAATTGCTAATTTTCTTCAGATTGCACATTGACATGATTTCATGTGCTATTGTCAGATTTCTATAACATTCACATTATTCTTATTTCCAGTTATATTAGTCTTATTCCCAGTAGGTACCAGCAGTAATTCTCTTTGGCTAAGATAAAATTATGTTGTTATATCTCTCTGTCTGGTGACAGTTCTTTAAAGATGAGGGTTGTTGGTGTAAAATGACTCATACAGCTGTACTGATGATAATTTTAACTGTTGGTTGTCTGAGTGCAGTGAGTCAAAGAACAAGAATCAGAGGAAAGGCAGACTACTTGTCTTTCTTGTTGAAATTTGAGTGATAAGTCAAGAGCCTAGCTTTTGCACAAGATAGATTAGGAAAACATAGCAGGCAGTTGTTATAATGAACAAGATGGAGAAGAAGTGGAGGAGCCTTGACCATTCCCGCAATAATCCTTTGTGCAGGAAGGACTTAGCTGACCAGAGAGTATTGTATCTCTACTACTGAGCCTTTGATAATGAATCTATTTTTTTCTACTGTGCTGGTACACTAACACTTACAATGAAGTATCTAACTTGTTCTCTAAGTGGCTTTTCTTAGAAACAGAATTGCTTAATTAGCATAGCGAGACATTGCTTTATAGCTGCAATGGTTACATTCACGCAAGCTTGTCATGTAAGTTTGGTAGCATTTTCCTAGAGAAGCCATCATTGCCATACCTAAGAATAGTGGAAAATGTGAAATGACTCTCGGTTAAAAAACACTTCCATAGTTGAGCTGTCTTTGAATGTGAATCTCTGTAGCCAAAAGAAACCCAGAACACATTCATGCACTGTTAGCTATTACTTGTGATGGAGTTTGTCAATAATTTTGTTTGCTGGAAGTGTTATTTTGCCATAACTGGTACCTAAGGGTGATAAGCTATCCATCTGTCTCTTTAGCCTCAACCTGAAGGAGTAGTAGCTAACTTTTCAGTTGGTCTTTGCCTTTGATTTCTGTCCATTTTGGCCAGTTTCCATCAGGAAGGAAAGCTACTTCTAGCACAGGCTAGAGGTTCCATGCTTAGATGTTGCTCAGAAAATTAGTGAGGTGAAAGGACTAAATATGGGATAATTTGTATGTATGATGCAGGATATTGCCCCTGCATATTCCAATTACCCACAGCTAACAACTCTCTATTGTCTTTCATGGTGTAGCTCTGTCATTAGAGCTCCTTACCTTACTCTGATATCCTTACATATATTTTGTATGGCAAAGTGCCAGTTACAAGGGGGAGCAGCAGACATGCTGTCTGAATTGTGTGCTGAATGTTGCTGAATGTGGTGTAGAAAAAAAAAGGATTGTGTGAGCAGGCCAGAAATGAAATGCAGAATGATGAGATCTAGTAGCTGGAGCGAAGGCAAAAGAAATGAGACTGGGGAAGTTTGCTGAATGCAAAAAACAGGAATAGAAGTGTAACAAGAATAATGAGAAACTAATTGGAGGACAAGGAAATAAAGGAGGATTGTAGAATAATAGCAGATAGAAATCGGGTTGAGAGAGGTGAGAATAAGAAAGGAAACTGGGGTGATGTAAAGGCAAAAGACATATATGAAAAACCAGCCCTAGTGGACCAGAGATTCCAAGATAAGTCAAACTGGTAGAAAAGTACAACGTCTTGACATTAGGGCTCTGTGAGTGGCAAGCACTTTTGCCTTTGCAGGTTTATGGGAGAGAATTCCAAAAGAGTTGTTCTTTCTGTGATCAGCCAACCATAAACTGCATGCATGAGGAACAGATGGGCTTATTTTATGCTCCAGTGTCCTCTGTCTAAATGACTGTACTGCTTCTCCACTGTTCTTTCAGTCAGCCTTGTTCTTTCAAGAAGTGCTTCTGAAGTCAGTGAAAGTGGTGAGTGCTGAGGCCCTCATAGGTCCACTGTGTTCTGTGGCATTTATACATAGACCTTGGACCTCCCCTCCCCTCTGTCTCTAAGGTCACTCTAAGATGGTGGGCATTTGAGACGAAGGAGGATGTATAATGTCTACAAGCAACTGAAGACTTGTTGCACTGCTGAAAAGCATTCTGTTGCCACACAAACATCATTCAGTGGGGTGCTGTGCCAATTTGCTTTGCAATCTTTGGACGTTCACTGT